CGCTGGAGCCGCGGGGGCCAACGGCACGGAGTACGAGATCCGCTACTACGAGAAGGTGACCCGGCCTGGGAGGGACCCGGCGCCGCCTTCCCCGACGCCCTCGCCCACCGCTTCCTCCTCTTTACAGTCGCCTCCCAGCAGAAGCCCTTGTTACTTTCTTTCTCAACATACCCACCGGCCCCGAGTGGCCTGCCAGGCTGGAGCTCCTTCCTGTCCTCTCCACGCGTGGACGCCCCGCTCTGCCTCTTTCCCTCAAGCCTCTCTGTTCATCACTAGCGGTCATCTCCATTTGCACCGCTTTTGCCCGATGTTTACAGCTGACAGAGTTTTCTCTGGGGGCTGATCCAGATTTTGTGTGCCTGGATCATACACGTACAATTTGCAACCCTTTTTAGAAAAATAACGCGGAGGCATTATATTGTTTCAATTTTGCAAAACTGCATGACTGTCTTAGCATTGCTAGGTCAGGTGGTCTGCTAGGGCTCCCGGTGTGCTGGTGTCTAACAACCAGCCCTCCAGAACAGTGAATGTGTGAATTATTACAATTTTACTGATATAAAGGATATGCAACATCATTTAAAAAAAAAAAGTAAAAATACACAGTGGTCCTGCTGGTCCATGCAGCTTTGCTTAAGTAGATCCCAGTTCCACTCCCTCCATGATAAGCAGTCTGGGCTCTAAACACCATCACAGTTAGTTACCAACCAGGTCAAAGCCCCAGGAGGCCATTCTCTGAGATCCTGCTGCCTTAGGGGCATTGTGCCAGTGTGTGATGAGGCATCCACCAACCCAGCCATCCTTGTGGAACTTTTACCCCCTGAAACCTGTGTCTTGCCATTACCTTAATAAGATTGTAGTACACAGATGCCTGTTTACTTCTGTGAGGGTCAAGGGTAAGGAGAGGAAGAGGGGTTTCTAAAGGGTCTAGCACAGCAGCTGGCAGTGAGTGGCGCCTCATTCAGTGATACCTGTCACTTCCCGCTCCCCAGGGGGGCTCTTGGGTGAGCCTCTTGACCCCTCTGAGTTCAATTTCTGTGAAACAAAACAAACAAAAAAGATGATACCTCCCATCCTGTGCCTTGCAGGACAGTTGTGAAAATGAGATGACAAGGGGAGGAAAAAGCTTTGTGAGCCGACAAGGACCAGACAGGTGTCAGGGCTCATCTTCTTCTTTCCTTGGAGGCGTCAGGCCTAGCTCACCCTCTGGACTGCCAGGCCCTGGTGTCTGTCACCCTATCGCCCCTGAGGAGGAAAAGCAAGCACCTTCTCTCTAGTTTCTCTTGGAGAATGTGGGGTGGGAACTAGTGGTGGAGGAAGGGTTTGGGGATCCTTTGGGAGAAACCTCTGGAATCTCCCAAGATGGTTGGAGTCAGGTTCTGCCGCCTAAGGGTACTCTCCTGCCTCCCTCCTCCTTTCCCCGCATCATTTTCCCAGGGGCGTGGGTCTGTCCTGGGTCCAGGCCTCACTTGTTGGTTCCTCCCCAGGGTCAGAGTGAGCAGACTTACTCCACAGTGAAGACAGGGGCACCTGCGGTCACCGTCACCAACCTGAAGCCAGCTACTCGCTACGTCTTTCAGATCCGAGCGTCTTCCCCGGGGCCCTCCTGGGAGACCCAGAGCTTCAACCCCAGCATTGAAGTACAGACCCCAGGGGAGGGTAAGTGACCTGTGCCAGGGGACCTGGGCAGGGAGAACCCAGTATGGGGATGGGGCAGAGAGACAAATTGGAGGGGGAGGGTTATCATCTGTGCAATTAAGGGAACCTGCAGTACAGTTTAATTACAACCTAATTAACTAATGAATTTGGAATCCACCAACTGATGCCTGTTCGGTGACGTGAATTAGATGCGGCCCCTGTGCTGGAGGAGCTCGCAGGGGAGGGGTTCACGAACACCTGTGCCCCAGGTCTCAGCTCGTGGCTCCTTGCCTCTCAGGACCTATCCCATATCTTGTGGAAACATCCTGTGCCCTCCCCAAGATTCCTGCTATTTCCTTGGGAGGAGTTTTAGTCTCATGGTCACCTCTTGCTCTGACTGCTAAATTCTTGTTCCCATTCTGCTGCTTTCTTTCTGCCGTGATATGGACCCAAACGTGGGACACTGTCACTGACCCCACTAAAGTATGAAACAGACTTCGCTGAAGGTTGGGGGCCATGAAGGGGGTTGCGTTGCAGCAACGCACACAGCAAAATGAGAATTGTACACTCTCAATGATGAAGTGTATGGTCGTTGAATAATTTCTCGATAGAGCTGTTATCAAAACAAAACAAAAGCTGAACATTAGATATCCTGATGCTCAAACAGCTCTGCTTCTCTGTGGCATTGTCCTACCACTGCCCTCTTCACTTCCCTCCCCTGGTTCCTCTCCCCACTCCCCAAATTCCCTTTCAGGATGCACAGAAGAGCATTTAGCTTCCTCTTTTGTTGTTTCTCCTGTGCTAACCCAGCCCTCGGGGTCTCACCTTTATCTATCCCAAGCAGCTCATGAAAGTATTTTCCTGGACAAAGGCAGTTCCCCCTAAGGGGCATTCTGGCACCAGCTGTCAAGATAATAATTCTTTCCAACCTGCTACATGAGTCTAATCCAAGATAGGAAGAGCTCTGAACCCAAAGGGAGGTGGAGATAAAATGTTGAGGGAATTTGAGTTCTGGGAAAGGGGACAGCACTTCCTGCTCAAATGCCTGTCTGTGCCAGACCTTGGCCAGGTGCTGGCAAAAGGAGATTAGAGCCATGTCTCGAAGGCTGGGAAACATTGGAATGTGTGGAGATGGGCAGGAAAGGCATTTTGAAGAGAGAAAGCCATTTGAACAAAGGCTCACGGGTTTGGCTGGAGTGAGTGTGGTGTGGGCAGGAGCTGGGACTGTTAGTGGAAAGGGGCTGATGGCTTCCATTCGTTTGGTGCTTTTTGGTTAGTGGATACTGCTCAGCTCCCCAGCTTCCTTTGCTGTGGCCCTGGGTATGGGGGTTTGGTCTCTCAATCTGCATAGCATTTTTTCCAATGAGCTGTGACCCCAAATCAGGATCGTAATGAAAGACCATGTTTCAGCACTGTTGCTGTGTTTAACAAATTGGTTTATTGGTTGTCTCATGGTCTTTTGTAGGTCAGGGATATGGGTGCAGCTTAACTGGGTGCCACTTGACTCAGAGTCTCTCACAAGACTGTAATCAAGGTGTCCTCTGGGGTTGTAGTCATCTGAAAGCTTAACTGGGGGAGACTCTCGCCCTACTCGAGTTCTTGCTGGCTCTGTGATGGAGGCCTGCAGTTCCTTGCCTTATGGGCTTCTCCATAGGGCTACTCATAACACAGCAACTAGATTCTTTTAGAGACCATGAGTGAGCGAGAGGGGGCCTGAGATAGAAGCTACAGTCTCTTGTAACCTAATCTTGGAGGTGATATCCCATTACTTTTGCCATGTTCTGCAAAGCCTCTGGGAAGGAATGATCATTCCTCTGCTCAGCTCTGCTCATTTCTCTGTTTCTTTTTTTATTCTACAGTTAGGTTTTTGTTTCTGTCTTTCCCACTGGTCTGTACACCCCTCCAGGGCAGGGATTCTGGCTCATTCATCACTTTCTCCCCAGTGCCGGCCTAGTACTGTTGGATGGATAGAGCTGAGGGCCTGGGGTCCTCCAGGCCTCTCCCTTGGTGAAATAATTAAAAGCAGAGGCTTTTGGAATCAAGTGCAAATCTTAGGTTCCTTAATTATTAGCTGTGTGACTTTGAGCAAGTTACACAACTTGTCTCAGCGTCAGTTTCCTGAACTATAAAATGGAGACAATAGTACAGTACTGGCAGGTTGTGATGATGAAACAGGGCCACTCAGTTAAGGTACATGGCATAGTATCTTGAAAGGAGAGAGTGTGCATTAAATGTTTACTTTTATCATTATTGGTGGTGAATGGTCTCGCTTGGGGCTGGGGAGCTCAGACCAGAGGCCATTCCCCTGCAGAGCTACTTAAGTCTCTCATTGCCCATCTGAAAGGCAAAAAGGGATTCCCAGGCCTGACTGTCTGGACCCCTGCTCCTCTCTCCCAGAGCTGGGCTGCAGTGGAGGCGCCCTGCCCTGGGAGAACAGGAAGCTCCAGGTGCCATTGTGTTTGGCGGGACTGCCTTGATCCGTCTGCTGCTGGGAGGCAAAGGTGCTGCGGAATCCTGCTGTGGGGTGAGGCCACTCACCCAGGAGCCCTGTCCTCTGCCTGCCTCAACCCTGTGCTCTTCCTCCCAGCTGCCTCAGGCTCCAGGGACCAGAGCCCTGCAGTTGTTGTCACTGTGGTGACCATCTCAGCCCTCCTTGTCCTGGGCTCTGTGATGAGCGTGCTGGCCATTTGGAGGAGGTAGGTGGCTGGTCCCAGTCTGTCTGACCCCTGGTGGGTCATGTCCCTGTACTCACAGGCACCTATGTCTATATCAGCATTTGCACAAATGCGGATTTGCACATGCAAGCACACTGCTGTATAGATACAGGCCTGGCTAGAGTAGTCCTGCCCCTCCCCCACTCACGGCTCCTGCGTCAGCACTGCAGCTAGCTCAGCCGCTCTGGGATGAAGGGGATTTAGCTCCTTAACTCATTAAATGTCAGAAGGCATCACTGAGGATGGAATCAAGCTGTGGCTGCTCCAGTGTGATTAGGATTCTCCTGAGGCGCCCAGAGGCCCCCAGCCCCTGCTCCCAAGGGGTCCTGAGGCCCTTGAACACAGGCAAAGGGAAGAAAGGCATAAATTGTGTTGTGTGTATATTTGTGGGAGAGGGGAGGACAGGGAGGGGAACTGATAAACCAGAAACCCCCAACCCCCAGCAGAAGGAAGCTTGCAGGAGAGTGGGCAGAGAAAAATGGTGGGAGGAGGGGAAGATGTGGCTTTGAGTCTGGCTCAGAGAAGCTTCCAGTCCTTTTGCGTGTAGCAGAAATTTCATGGCACCGGTTCCGCAGGCAGGTACCAGGGTGGGGCTGAGCTCAGCAGACTTGAGGGGTTGGAAAGTCTGCATGCAAAGGGCTGGAGTTGGGGGAGCAGAGGAGAGAAATGAGCTGGCCAGAGAGCCGCATCTCAGCACATCTCAGCATCCTGGAACTAACTGCCCATGGGCTGGAGGGGCAGTGAGCATTCATTTGGCGCCGACAGAAAGTGACTCAGGTGGCAAGGACCTGTCCTCGGGGTCTGGGAGCCAGCTCTGCCTGGGCCAGGGGAGTCAGGAAGGCAGAACCAGAGTAAGCAAGCTCCTTTCTCATAGAGCCTAAAAGTTCATATGTTGGACCTATTGAAAAAGCAGCCATGGACAGGAGCCAAGAGCATTGTGTCCTGGCTGTGAGTTTAGGGGCTCAGGGAGGCAAAAAGAGGAAAGAGGAGAGAGGTGATTGGGGAGCTTCTCCCGGGAAGACTTTGCAGGACCAGAGCCGCCGCCCAGGAGTGCCTCCGACACAGATGCACTGGGCAGGCAGAGTACGCCAGGGGGTGGGTTTCAAAACCTGCTCAAAATCAAATGGCAGTGAAGTGGGGAGCATCAGCTGGTCTAGTGCTGATGGGCACGGGGCAGACTTCCAGCAGGCGTGTCCCAGTTTAGCGGCCTTAACAAGTCTAGCACCATCCTCTCCTCTCCAGGTCCCTGCAGCGCTTGCTCTGTGCAGTGGTCTCCTCACTTCCACTTTCCCTCCTCAGTCTATCCTGGCTCATCCCCCTTCCCACCGGAGGGTGTCTTCCAGTGGAAGCTTCTCGTTTTCTCTGCCATCGCTCCACCCGCTCAGCCTTGCCCCCTTCCCTTCATCTCGACCCCCCGCTCCTGGATGTCCCCCTCATTCTTGGAAGTCCTGTCGGCATGCTGAGAGACCCCTGTAGCTGTTGGGTGACCCGTCCCAGCCCCTGGCCTCTCGGCTCATTGGCAAAGACCTTCTCTTCTGTTCCGCCTCCGCCTCCCTCTCCCATACCCCGACGAGGACCTGGCCGTCACCCCAGACACTGATCCACTTCTGCTTTTGTCCTTCAGGCTCCCCGTCCTTGCAGCCTGTCCCCCAGCCACCTCTGCCGCCCCTGCTCTTTAACTGCATCATTAGCCCCCGCCTTCTCGCCACCGAGTCTGTCAACACGCCTGCCTCGCCCTCCCTTTGCTCTCGAGGAGGCGCCTGTCCCCTCGCCAGGACCCGTCCTGCCTGGGACCTGGACCCGCTCCCTCTCACGTCTCAGGAACCCGCACTATTGCTAAGGTCCCTCTGTCCCCCCCCCAAGAGCTAACATTTACTGAGTGCTTAGTAAGCTCTTTGCAACAGTGCTATCAGGCGGGTCTGTCTGTATCCTGATTTTATTAAAGAGAAAACAGCCGCCCAGCCCTGCAGCTGCCGAGTAGAGGAGCGGCGAAGCCAGTCCGCGAGTCAGCCCCCAGAGCCCAGGCTGTTAACCGCCCGCCCGTGTGACAGCTGCCTTTCCGCCTGTCCCGTTGGCATGGGACCCTGACCGTCTCTCTCCAGCCTCCCTGAGTCCTCCTCAGCCTTCCCGTGACTGGCTTCTCTCCCTGCTCCGCTCTCTCTTTCCTTGTTTCCTGTGACATCACCACCCCAGTTTGCCTCTATTTCCCTTCCACTTCTCTGGCGGTTCTTTTGTGATCTCCTTGGCTTCCTTCTCCTGTCCCTACCCAATCTGTAAATGTTGGGGGTCCTCAGACTTGTTCCTAGCCCCGCTTCTCACAGCTCCCGAATTTGTCTCTCCAGAGCAGACCTCTGTTCCGAACTCCAGGCCCAGGCGCGCACAGATCTCTAACTCCCTGCTCGTTGGTCCTCCGTGCTTGTCCCAGAGGCCCTGCAAACTCAAACGTCCAGACATGAACTTCTCATCTCCCCTTTTTGGTAAATGGCAGCACCATAAACTCTGCTGGGCAAGCCTGTTCCCTCTCCCTTTCTGCCTTCTAGCAGTCTCCAAACCCTGTGGCCCTGTCACCTACGTGGCTCTTGAGTCCTCTCGCTTTTTCTCTCCATGGTCGCCCCATAGCCTGAGCCACCGCCATTGCCATCCCATCACTGGCGGGGACAGCAGCAGCAGCTAGGATGATCTTTCTAAAATGCAAATAGCATCACAGCACTCCCCTGCTCAGAATTCCCTAGGGGCTCTCCTCCAATCTGGAATAAAAGTCAAAGTCTTTATCTGGGCCAGCAAGGCCCAGCCTCAGGGGGCCCCAAATGCCAGCCAGCCTGTGGCTTTGTTGATTGTGATGCAGGCCTCTGGTCCACAGCTGCCTCTGTCTCGGGAAGCCGTCCTGATGGCCCCGGAAGGGGTCATTTCCATTCATTAAGTGTTCCCCAGTGCACAGCCTTCTCCTTCGCGTGGCCCTGTGAGTGGCTGTGGTTAGCTCTCAGTGTTGGTTTTCCTGGCTAGAGCAGAAGCTGCCCTTGAGTGCAGGGCCTGTCTTCTGTTCACCTGTAGCCAGGGGGGCAGCTTGAGCTTAAAGTCGGGTGTAGATTTGAGCGCCTCTGGAGTGGCAAAAATGTGTACTGTGTCTCAAAGTGAAAATAATTAGGAATGCTGATGTGGGTCAGGGTGTGGGTGTGGCTCCAGGGTTACCTGTGTGCCATGAGGAGGAACTTTCAAACCAGCAGAACAAGATGGTCCCTCCCCTGGAGGAACCTTTTCCTTTGGAAGGGACAAAGAGGTGCCACCCTGGGTGGCCTGGGCTGGGGAGGGCTGAGGCATCCTGGCTCAAGGAATGACTGCACCCCCAGGCCCTGCAGCTATGGCAAAGGAGGTCAGGATGCCCACGATGAGGAGGAGCTGTATTTCCACTGTGAGTTGTCTGGGTCTGGCTCTGGGTGGGGCGGGTGCCCTCCTGCCTCACCCCTTCTCCCTCTTCCCCCTGCCATTGCACAGCCCCACCCCTCCAGTCACAGAAGCCCCTTTCCTCAGAATCATCTCTCTCTTCTCTCTTCTCTCTCTGTCTGTGTTCCCAGTCAAAGTCCCAACACGCCGCACGTTCGTGGACCCCCAGAGCTGTGGGGACCCACTGCAGGCTGTTCACCTGTTTGCCAAGGAGCTGGATGCAAAAAGTGTCACAGTGGAGAAGAGCCTTGGAGCAGGCAAGCTGGGCATCCAGGAAGCCTTGTCCTTGGGGAGCCCCGCCTCTGCCCCAGCCCCACCCACTCTAGAAGTCCCATCACCGCTCCACCCCACTTTGATTCTGTAAGCCCCCCTCCACCCCAAGTCCTGCCTCCGTTTCTAGAAGTTCTGCCTTCACCCCAGTCCCCACTCTGCCCAGGAAGCCCCACCTCCCTTACCAGGTTCCAGGGTAAGGGGTGATAGAGGAGTCTGTGACCCTTCTTTCCTACCTTCTCCCCATCCCCAGGGTCACTGTGATCTCTCCATTCAGGCCCTTTCAGAGTGGCCTGTGCAGACTGCCACTGGCAGAAGTTTAGTCCCAGGCCTTTTTGGGGCAGTGGGGAGGGGCCCTTACAAACTTGGGCACCAAACGTACTTGAGCTTTATTCCCGGCTATATCACTAACCAGCTGTGTGATCTCAGGGGCACGTCCCTCTTCTGCTCTGAGCCTCAGTTTCTCATCTGTAAAATGGGCATGATATCTGCCTCCAACAGAGCTGATATGGGGACTTCACAGGCTCAGCGCAAGGTCTGGCTCATGGTGGGTGTTTGCCCCCTAACGGTCAGCCTCCTGGCTTGCTTTCTTTGTGTCTACAAACCCTTGGCCCTGTGCTTAGAGAAGGCAGCCACTTTGATCAAGAGCCAGACACTAAGCTCTGATACTGTCGCCACACTCACTGGGCAGATGCCAGAAAGGGGCAGTGTTGCAGAATGGATGCCATGGTCATCCTTCCTGGGTCACACTGGGCTTTAATAGCCTTTGATGTGCTGGCAAATGCAAAGTCCCCTCTTTGAGGCTCTAAAACCTCCCGCTGAGGCAGGCAGGGGAGAATCCCCATTTCACACAGAAGAAAACTGAGGCCAGGAGAGGGAAAGAGATGAAAACCATGTCACAGAGCTGGTACTCAGTTTATTATGATTTGAACCCAGGAGCTCTGAGTCCTAGGCCAGAAACAGCTTGTGATCCAGAAGTTGCTCTCTCCTCAGCTCACCCTGCCTGGGTTGGCCAAGGGAGTGGCCTCCAGGGGGGTGTCTGAGGTGCTCTTTCCCCACAGGGCGGTTTGGGGAGCTATGCTGTGGCTGCCTGCAGCTCCCTGGCCGCCAGGGGCTCCCCGTGGCCGTGCACACGCTGAGGGAAGGCTGCTCCGACTCCCAGAGGCTCAGCTTCCTGGCCGAGGCCCTCACCCTGGGTCAGTTTGACCATAGCCATATTGTGCGGCTGGAGGGTGTTGTCACCAGAGGTAGGGCCCAGTGCTCCACAAGTATGGAGGTGGAGATGACAAGGCGGGAGGTGGGGTGCTCCTGTGCTCTGAGGCCCTTTCCTAAACTGTAGGAGGGAGCCCCTAAAATGCCCAGCATGGAGAAAAGGTCTCAGCTTCTCTTCCCTGACTCAGGGTGGCCCCTCTGACCCTGACTGACCTTTCTGACTAGTGGTGACACTCTGTGGGATAGATTTCTTGGACCTTGGGCGATATTTCTTAGCAAACTTGTAGCTCTTGACCTTGACCTTTGTCCCCCTACAAATGCCTTCTCTTTTGTTCTTCAGCACAGGGGATCCTGGGTCCTGAAGGAGGGTGGCCTTGGATTAGGGGAGTGTGGCTTTGGTTCTGGCCATTGTTGCCCAGGTCAAAGCCCAGATAGGGGAGCCTGTGTCCACAAGAGAGCAGACAACTTAGCCTGTCTGTGTTCCCCATCCCCTGGCACAGGAAGCACCTTGATGATTGTCACTGAGTATATGAGCCACGGGGCCCTGGACGGCTTCCTCAGGGTGAGTGGTGTGGGCCCTGGGGGTTAGAAATGACCATGTTATTTTTGGTCCCTGACTTTTCTCTTTGTTGGGAGTTGGAGTTGGCATCATTCCCCGAAAAGGTGCGCACTAGCCAGGCCGACCTGGTGGGTCACAGGGCAAACTGAAGCCCAGGGAGGGCAACGTGACTTTCCTGAGCTTGCACAGCACCAGGGGAGCTGACTGAGCAGCCCTGGACTCCGTCTCCTCCTCTCCCTCAGCGGCACGAGGGACAGATGGTGGCTGGGCAGCTGCTGGGGCTGCTGCCTGGGCTGGCATCGGCCATGAAGTATCTGTCGGAGATGGGCTACGTTCACCGGGGCCTGGCCGCCCGCCGCGTTCTGGTCAGCAGTGGCCTTGTCTGCAAGATTTCTGGCTTTGGGCGTGGACCTCGGGACCGAGCAGAGGCTGTCTACACCACCATGGTGAGGAGTCGTTTCCCCCAGGCAAGCCTGCTCCTCTGTTTCCCCTCAGACTGCCCTGGAGTCCCTGTCTCCCCACTTCCACCCTCTTCCCTGCTGTGTCAAGGCCACTCCCCTACCCCGCCTCCACCCAGCTGGTCCTGAATAAATGCCAGTGTGGACATCACCCTGTGATCAGCTTGTATGCTTTCCCCAGGTGTGCAGCTGGGAGGATGACAGGTGGGGCTGCATCTGGGCCCCTGCGGGATGGGGAAGCCCTGTGTCCCTTCCTGCCCCTGACCTGCCCACCTGCCCGCAGAGTGGCCGGAGCCCAGCGCTGTGGGCCGCCCCCGAGACGCTGCAGTTTGGCCACTTCAGTTCCGCCAGTGATGTGTGGAGCTTCGGTGTTGTCATGTGGGAGGTGATGGCGTTTGGGGAGCGGCCCTACTGGGATATGTCTGGCCAAGACGTGAGTGACCTGTGGCTCCAGCTCCTTGCCTTCTGATCTTCTTGCCCTCTGACCTCAGCTCCCAATTTCCTGACCCTTGACTTTCTAGCCCCAGGTTCCTTTTCACTGTTTATTTGCTTCTAGCCCTGCCTGGGCATCACTTGAGCCTCCCTTGGGATGGTGTGTGTGGGGGGGGATGTGGGGCTGTAAAGTCTCCCTCTGCTCCCCCCAACCCCATGGCTCAGGTGATCAAGGCTGTGGAGGATGGCTTCCGGCTGCCGCCCCCCAGGAACTGCCCTTCCCCGCTGCACCGACTGATGCTTGACTGCTGGCAGAAGGACCCAGGTGAGCGGCCCAGGTTCTCCCAGATCCACAGCATCCTGAGCAAGATGGTGCAGGACCCAGAACCCCCGAAGTGTGCTACAACCACCTGTCCCAGGTATATTTCCACCTATCCCCAACCACAGCAGATACAGCCGACCTCTTACCTGTCCCACGGGTCCCCAGTGCAGCTGCCCATCTCTCTTACCCCGCCTGCTCGGGTCTGGCTGCTCACCCAGCTGTCCCAGATCTCATACTCCCAGGTGCCTCAGGCACATGTAGCCTTTCATCCATTTTAGTCACTTTTGCTTGTCCTGGATTTTGCTCACATATCCCAGGTACAGTGACCATTGGATAAATATATGTGCTAATAGTCCTGACTCGTTTGTAGTAAAATAAGTGAAGTTAGTATGAGTTCCCTCCCAAACTCTCCTACCCCCAAACTGCTCCAGATACTCCCGCACCTTCGGCTGGCTCGGGTGCAACTCTCCACCCGCCTGAGTATGTTGGACACTCGCCTGCTCTGAGAATGTGTGGCACCTGGGGTGAACCAGGTCCGTCCTGGGGCCTGGTCACCTGTTCTTCTCATGTCCTTGCACAGCTGGCCTGTCCTCAGGAGAGTGAGCAGGGCTGGGCACCAGATCCCTGCTGCTGCTCCACCACTGCTCCTCTGCCCCCAGGCCGCCCACGCCTCTGGCAGACCGTGCCTTTTCCACCTTCCCCTCCTTTGGCTCCGTGGGCGCATGGCTGGAGGCCCTGGACCTGGGCCGCTACAAGGACAGCTTCACTGCAGCCGGCTACGGGAGCCTGGAGGCCGTGGCCGCCATGACTGCCCAGTGAGTCCGAGGAACCCAGGGGCCCTGCCCAGCCTCTACAGGAGGCCCAGCCTGTCCTGATTCTGGGCAGTCCCTGTCCAGGCGGAGGGAGGGAGAGCAGAAGGTGGGACGGAGCTGGCTGGTCTGACCAGTCCTTCTTCACAGAGACCTGGTGAGCTTGGGCATCTCGTCGGTGGAGCACCGGGAGGCCCTCCTCAGCGGGATCAGTGCCCTGCGGGCACGAGTACTCCAGCTGCAGGGCCGGGGGGTGCAGGTGTGAGCAGCCCCCGCTCTTCTAGGCAAGCACCCCAGTGGGGCTGCAGACTCCAGCCCTGAGAAGCACCTGGCAAGCTGCGCCCCAAGTGCAGAAGTGAGCTCTCTTCCTCCACTGGGGCCACTTTCCCCATTTCACTGCCTACTCCTCCCTCAGTCCGAACACCTTGGCTGACTCAGTCCCCCTGGGAAAAGGGTCAGATCCCTGGAGAAGACCTTGAGAGAACAGTGGGAGGAAATTCGGGGGCTCAGACGGTGAGGTAGGGCTGGGCAGGGAGGGAAGACCTAGCTTTAAATCATCCGGCTCGTGCCCTCTTATCTTCCACATCCACTGGGGGCTGGGGCTACCCCCTTATCCCACAGACCAGTTAGCCAGCAGGCAGCACGGGTCCCTGCTGGGCTCTCATTCAGCCTGGCAGTGACCATAGCTACCTGGCAGCCCATTCCGATGGGCCCTGGAGCGGCAGGGTCCTCAGCTCCTTGTGCTCGGGCTCAGCCCTGTCTGGACATTGGTCCTGAGGCCCAGGCAGCAGAGGTGGTGCTGAGCTCAGGGGCTGGACCCCGAGGGCCCTAGACTCAGGAGCTGGTTTCTACTTCCCTTGCCCTTTGGCTGACAGTTCAGGGTGAGGGTGAGGGTCCTGGCTAGGCCACTCAAAGTCCTGGTGCTCCCCTGAGGCCCCACTAGCCTCCCTTTGACTTCCTTTTATAAACTCACTGGCTGGGACACCTGGGAAAGAAAAGCAGGAGGGGAGATATTTTATCCCCGGGGAACCCCAGGGCTTTGCTGTGCAGCCTTGGGGGGTGGTGAAGAAGAGACTCAGAGATGGATCCTCTCTCTCTGACAGGCTGGTCCAACTCACACTGTATAGGTGGGAAAAACCAAGGTCCAGTGAAGACTCTGGGTTAGAACCAGGCTGCTCAATTCTGTCCAGGGGTGAGGTTAGCTCTGGAGAGAGGCCTTGGTCCTGCCTGTGACACTATCCCTCTGTCCTGTGGCAGCCTGGGGTACTTTGAGGTGAGCCTCTATTGGGAGCTCCATTCCCTGGCCACTACCCAGCCTCCACAGAGCACCTCCTCCCTGGGGCTTCTGCAGGCCTCTGACCAAAGTGGGTGCACTGAGCTGACTCCAGAGTTCCTTATCCGGAGAGGCTCCCTACAAGCGGTGGTGGCCGTGAGGCCTGGCTTTTGTAGGTCAGGAAGGTGGCTTGGTCTGGATAGGCCCATGGGCCTATCTTTCCAGGTTACTCCTGACAGGCCTCTCTGGGTTTGGCTGTGTGGGTGGTGGGTGGGGTG